AACTCTGGACCAGTGATGGGCAATTGAGGCTAGTGAGTGGGCTGCATGAGTGGACTCCTTCCTGTCAGTGAGCAGCAAAACTGTCCTAATCAAGAAAGTCTCCTGGGTTAGGACAGTTTTGCTCACTGCACTTGCCTGCCTAGAATCAGCAGTGTGCTGGGTTGAACTGGAGCAGCACTGAGACTGGATGCAGAGGGAGTGCCCGGCTCTCACAGTCAGTGTTGGGTGCAATCCACCCACGCCTCACTTCACGTGCTTTACGTGTGTGTCGCTTTAGTAACACCAGTAGGAAAAAAATGGACACAGATGGAAACCAGCAGAATCTGGCAACCCTACGCATGGGCAACAGCAAACAAAACATCTTGACAGCCACATAAAGAACCCTGCTGGGTGGCAGGTTGTCCATCCCTGCTCTGGGGCAAGGGCCGTGTGTTTTCCTCACCTGTGAACATAGATGTGGATTGTCAGGCATGATTCCTGTCCCACTCCACAGTGACTGACACTGATCCTCCTGAGTTTCTGGTATGCAAAAGTCACATGACTTGCTACTTCCTGGGGATTATCCCAGGTACCAGGAAGTGTGCATTCACCCATTTCCCTTCCTGTGCTTCTTCCCCTCCTGTAGGCTTATGCAATGATGCTGTCCCTTTCTGAGAACACTCCCCTTCATACTTCCTCCCAGAATTCTCTGGATGCTTGGTTGAACATGGCAGGAGCAGCGTCAGAGTCGGGGACCTTTAACCCCATCAACCACCTCTGACGGGTCGAGAAGGCGCGGGTTGAGAGTCCGAGCGAGGAGGTGGCGGAGCTGCGGGTGCTTTATCAGAAATTCAGGCACGCAGAAGATGGATCAGAGGGCCTCAGGGAGTCGTCTGGGCTTTTGGCTGGGAGACTAAACCTGTCACCTGTGACCTGCCAGTCCCGCCTTGGGATTGATTGGCAGGTGCTCCTGCCAGGAAACCCTCCACACAGGACAGCCCTGAAGCAGCCCTGGGATTCCGCCATCTCTAAGAATCGTGTAAACAAGAAGAGAATTGCAACGGTGCAATCATATACCGGCCCCAACACAGTGACAAGCCAATATACCTGAGCCAGCTACTTTCTGCTTATAAACTAAAACTTGAAGTCATTCAACCCTCTGCCCCCCGCTCCTCCCCCCACAACACACACACACACACAACATTCACTCCCGCTGAATAACAGTCCCCAGGGGGGAAAAGATCAAGAGCTGCTCCATCCCTGGTGTGATTGCAATGTGGACCCCAGAGTGATAGCCTGGAATGGTGAATGTGCCCCATTTAACTTCGCTCTTTGAAAGAGCAGGCAAAACTCCACTGCCCGCAATAGCACCCTCTCCAACATGCAATGTCCACACAGGGCTGGCTTCTGCCAAGAGCACAAACAACTGGTGCAGGAGTATTTCTGGGGCTGCACATATGTGCCCACAAACACATAGACAACGTTAGCTTGACCCTAGACAACGCCTATGTATGTCGCCCCCGAAGGGTCTTTCAAATGCTGTCACTTCAATGTCGGGGGAGAAACCCCTTGTGTGGGATTGCTGGTGGTTGCTTATGCCGAGAATCATGCTCCCACTTCCCTCATCATTTTGATTATATGGCTAAAGAAAAACCCCACGCCCTTCCTTTTTGAATAACTTTGAGTGCTGCTCCGCTCTCCAAGCATGTGGGCAACGATATGTTTTCTCTCTGGATCTAAAATTACTTGCAAGTGTTTATGGATGATTTTCCATTGCTTCACCATCTCGGCTCTTTTGCAGGCCTAAAGCAGCCGCCAGAAATCTTGCGACATTGGTTTGTGCGCTCGCTGCATTGGAATAACAACCTGGTATTGTAGCTATGATTTGTAGAGGTCACGCGAAAGCGGGAAATCATTCTGAAAGGGGTGAGAAATATTACAAAGGGTAACACGAGCTTCTCGGACGACGTTTGTAATGTGTGTGCTGAGAAATGCCTAGATTTGGTGTCACCGAATCAGAGATGCCTGAAGGTAAGATAGGTGCCTGCCCCAACGGGACTTTAAATTAAAGTAGAGGGGCCCCAAATTTGCCCATCTGAGTGCTGCATCAGCAACTCGCCTAGGGACCTCCGGCTGCTTGAAGGACCCAGTTTTGTACAAGCCCAGTTCTGATCCCACCGAGGGTACGTCTACACAGCAACGTTATTTCGGAATAACTGATGTTATTCCAAAATAACATAGTGCGTGTCTACACTACAAGCCTTTACTTTGAAATAACGTCGAGCTGGAAGACTTCCTACTCCAACTCATGGGAACTCTCATTTAATGAGGAGTAAAGGAAGTCGAAGGAAGAGTGTGTAGGCAGCATCAAAAGTCGAGGTAAGCTATTTCGACTTAAGCTACACAATTGATGTAGCGGAAGTTGCATTGCTTAATTTGACTTTAGCCTTGCTGTGTAGATGTGCCTTCAGTGAGCAGGGCTCTTTCCACTGACTTAAATGGAATTGGGAGCAGGTCCCAGACACTTAACGCTGGTTAACTCCTGGTAGTAAGCGTTACTCCTTGTAGTAAGTGCTACACCTCGTGGTAAGTGTTTTCAGAATGGGATCAGTAGTCAACTTCAGAGACATTTCTCACGGTAGTAAGCACATCTGTGTTTGAGAGATTGGACCCCTAGTTTATAAGTATGAGAACAGACGGTAGCAGCTCTGCTGTTTAACACAGGGGTGAAGATCATGGAAGCAGTGGAGGTTCCAGCATGCAATGCTTCATCTTGAAACAATGGCTTAGATTACAATGGAGCATTGCATGCTGGGATTTGTAGTCCTGATGGGCCACACCTCACACTCCAGATGTCAGCCACGAGGCCTCAGCTGGTTGCCACTGGGATAGAGAGAATGGAAGGATAATTAGCAGCATTGCATAATTCTCCATAGTTCACCCTGCGAAAGATGACACGCCTCCCGCTAGTTTCTCCAACACACCATGAATATGTGCCGAAGGCTCCGAGTCCAGCAGTGATGTATTTAATTTCCCCCACCCCCTCCGGTTTCAGATATTTGCACAAAGCTCTTGACTAGGCATAGCCCAAGAACTGACAAGGTCAAAAGAAACCAGTCTCTAAGAGTCAGATGAAACATTCCTTTCCCTGGCACGTCTGCCTATGCTAACATTACAGTACTTGCCATTTACTTGGGCTTTAAATTATTCCTATAGGGGCCAATTTAAAATAATGAAATAATTGTTTTTTTTCCTAATGGAATTTACCTTAATCTGTATATAACTTGTAATTTTTTTTCGAATTCTTTTCTTATTTTATTTCTTCCTTAACAGTATTTTTGCATTGGATATCATTATTGTGAAGAAATAATGTTAATATAAGTATCTAGTGAAGGACCAAAATTGTGTAATTAAGGTTGTATGTTGTATGATTGATAACCAGGGAGTAGATTTTGTATGTGCCAAATGACCCTACATAATCCTGCTATTCTTGCTACCGATTTTTCCGACAATCATCTGTTTTGTTAAATTTCAGTTTCCAACTACATGTGCATGTAGGATGTGTTCTATTTATTTCTTTTATTGTTTGGGGGGAAAATCTCACAACCAGAAAACAACAACAAAAGAAAAATCCTTTTCCAACATGCCCTTACTAAAAAAACAAACACATTTAAAAAGAGAAAGAGAGAAATACAGCAACAAAACCTGTAAATAAAAATAACTGTGAAACTCCATATTGTAGCCAATATGGCATGCAATGCAAATGTGCCATATTTGAGGGGAGAAAATCAGTGCTTATTTTTATACAGGAATGGAAACAAAATCCCAGTAGTGTAATGTTTTGTTAACTGCAAGCAATCTATGCCTTGTAAATACCTCACATACAAATCTAGGAGGGCAGATGGTTAACACTGTAAAACATCAGGAGAACACCGATTCAGCTGGCATTTGTCGCCATTTCTGAAAGGATCTGGTATAATTACCAGAACAAAAAGGTGGCTCTTCTAAAACGGGGTCGTACGTAGCGAGGTTATCAGCAATACCGTTACCAAAATATTTACTCTTTTGCAAAACAAACATACCCCAAAAGAACCCACAAGGTGAAGTTTCATCCTGCAAATATTCTTCGCTTTAAAGTAAATCAATAGGTTGAACCTCTCTGGTCCGGCAACATCCATGGTCTGGCATGATTTTAGTTTGCTAGATGTCCACTTATCATGGGTGTGGCCAAGTTTCCCACAGTCCCATAAAGTTTATTTACAGCCTCCAGGCCTTGCTCTCAGTATTCTATGCTGTTATTTAGCTCTAACTTACCCCTAAACCTTCAGAGGGGTAGCCTAGTTAGTTTGTAACTGGGAAAACTTAAAAAACAACAAAAAGTCTTGCAGCACCTTAGAGACTAACACAACTTGTAGATGGCATCATGAACTTTCGTGGGCACAACCCACTTCTTCAGATGAATGGAGTTACCCCTAAATGTCTTCTAAGAGCGAAGTGAGCAGTGGAAGGGTTGCCTGATGATATTGACCTCCGTGGTCCGGCAAATTCTCTAGTTCGGCATCGATCAGGTCCCAAGGATGCCGGACTAGAGAGGTTCAACCTTGCATGTGTTTGCAGGATCAAGGCTAAGCAGCCCACTCCTATTGATATTATCAGTGATCGTGCTCACCACACACCAGCAGGCATTTAAGCACGTTCTAAACTTTAAGCATAGGAGGCAGCCATCCCTCCTCTGTTAAAACAGGTAAGCCTGTGCTTGGACTGTTCTTTGTTTAAAGTTAAGCACATGCTAATGTCCCTTTCTGGAGTGGGTGCCCTGCTAGAAAAAGCCCTCAGAGTAGGAGCAAGGATCTGGCATGGGGTTTTGAGGAGGTCAACCTCGCTTCTCCGTGTGTGGAGATCAATGGCGACCTTATCTCCAAACCTTGGGCAAAGAACTTAGAAACAGAAATAGTATAAAAGCTTTTTTTTTTTGGTCTTCCCTGCAGTCTGTGGACACCGCCCCATTATTTGCTGCACTGTTTCTTCAAAAGAACAATGTGCTCAGAGCTCTTAATTCTGCCTGAGGCGGAGCAGTGTCTGTTTACCTTCTAGGCGCTGCGGCTAAGTAGTTCACAGATTTGAATAGGGCTGGTGGAGGAGACGTTAGCACTCACCGTGAGCAAGGGTGACGCTGTCTAGGCCTATCTTAAGGAGATGAAAGATTTTTTTTAATCATAAAATGATTTTTTTCTGTTTCCTGTGACAGGTTGAACCTCTCTAGTCTGGCACTCTGGTCTGGCAACATCCGTTATCCAGCATGATTTTAGTTTTCCAGGTGGCCACTTAGCATGGGTGTGGCCAACTTTCCTGCAGTCCCATAAAGTTTGTTGACAGCCGCCAGTCCTGGCTCTCAGTGTTCTGTGCTGTGATTTAGCTCTAATTCACCCCTAAATGTCTTCTAAGAGCCCAGCAAGCAGGGGAAGTGTTGGTGATGCTGGGAAGCAATATTGACCTCCTGTGGTCCAGCAAATTCTCTGGTTTGGCACTGGCCAGGTCCCAAGGGCGCCGGACTAGACAGGTTCAACCTGTACTTAAAAAGACCACACTTTGTTTCCTTCCTTTTCTTCTAGCTGGTCTGTGTCCATTTCAGAATCCAGACTTCTCTGAATCAGCACTGACTACACATTTTAAGATATTTCCCCCAAGCCAGATAAACAAACACCACCCCAATTAAATTTCGTATCCCTTCGCCCCTTCTTTAATTGCACTCAGAGTGTCGTGATTGGTAGCTCCTGATTCTGGGGGGCTTGAACAAAACACGGTTGCTTATTCTGGAGGATGTGCTCTGAGACCTGCTTATGTCAAGAATAAATAGTGGCAAGAATGATCCCACGTCAGGACGGAGACTCCTCTAGAGCTAGCAATGGGCAGGATCTGGGGTCTTCGCGGGAGCTAAGTAGTGCCCGTGCACACTACACCACTACCATATTATGCTCAGGAACCATGTGCTACATCGTGGGGGGGGAGGGAGTTGGAGGGACTGCCATAAGGCCTGGTAACTGTTTGAAATCAAGGGTCCTGTCCCAGAGGTGATGATGGGGGAGGGGGGCTATTTTTATAACCTGTTTTCCTGTCTGCAGCAGGTAGCCATATTGCCATAGTAACACGGGGAGAAAGTGGGGACGAACTGGACCCGCAAAGTGGTTGTTCCTGTCACTCGGTGGATCCAAGTTGAACATTAGCAGCCTCTGGCTGTGCCAAACTGTTCAGTACTGCTGAAATAAAACTATTAGGCAGAGGGGCCCTTCCTTCTACTGATTGCTTCTTTCAGTGTAGATATTTTATATACGTGCTAATTATAAAAGCAAAATAAAAAAGTTCAAAGTACCTGCTGCTCCTCTCTGTTGCTCACTCAGACGCCAGCATTCAAAGTCAAGAGGTTAGTCACTTGGCAGGTACAGACCGTTCAAGGTGCAATGCGAACGTGCCAGCTCCATCCAGGTAGAATGCACTTGCTTTGTGTTTTTGGGAGCGCCGGGTCTGTCTGGGGAGAATGCACCTGATCTGCTGTTAGACACATCAGGCACGTGCCCGTCGGAGACACTTGCTGACTGTTTTCCAGAATCCATCGCCTGGGCTGCTGAACGTCCCGGCTGCACCCCATAATCGCATGTCGTGACGTCACTGGACGATCAGAGCCCAGCCGGGTGCTGGCAACAACCCAAACCCAAAGGGTTACGAGCACCACAAGAGCTGACACGCCACACGGCATTCCAGGATGCAAAACCAAGTTCTGATTTTCTGTCTTGCTCCACACCCTTCGTGGAGTCACTCGGGTTCCCCCGAAATCAGCACTTAGAAAGTCAATGGCTATTGGCAACGGCTTCTTTTCTTTGCATTTCAGACGCAGCCTTTACAAGAGCACTTGCACAATGACATATTACCATGTTTAGACTCTAAGGATCAAAGCACTGGATTGTGAGCCCCCTGTCCCCCCTCCAGCCTATTTCAATCTACTGACTTGCATTCAATTTTTACGTGCTGTATTTTGTGTGTGTGCGTGCGTGTGTGCGTGTGGGGGGGGGGAAGCATCATGGTGTAGGAACCTGCACTTTGCTGCCTGTTTCAAAACAAACAGGGAGTGAAGCAGTCTGCTCAGCCGTGTGTTGGTAACTTGAGGGCAAAAGCTCTGCTCCTAGTGGATGGTCAGTAGTGTTTAAAGCCATGAAACGGTTGCTCTGTAGTGTTGAGTAATACTGTGATTACAATGTTATTGCATTCGTTCGATATTTTTTTTCTTTATTCTGTCATTGATTCTTATTACCACTTTTGGAAAAGAATGAAAAAGAGAGAGGGGGGAAAAAAGGCAGCTTTGATTTCCAAATGTGCAATTCACATGTGAACAAAGTCATTCTGAAACTGTTCCTCAATGTATTTTACGTTCTCATCACGCTCTTCAAAGCAAGAGATATTTTGCCCTGATATCATTTTCAGCCTGCAGAAGATGTAATTTAAAACATATATATATTATGCTTGCAAAAATCATACATCTGCATCCTATGTCAATCCTTCTCCCATTGTTACAATACAGATTTGATTTAGGGCTTGGTTTTTTGTTTTGTTTTGTTTTTTTCCTTTAGAACTGTATAGTGTTTTGTTTTGTTTTTAAAAAGAAATCAATTGTAAATGTCTGGTTTTCATATAATGTTTAAAAAACATTGAGAAAGAGGATGGTGCTTGTTCCATATCATTCTTGATTGTATATTGCTTCTGTTATGTTTATAAGTAAACTGTGCATGACTTGTGTTTAGCAGTCATTATGGTGTCTGTTTGTGAAATTTTTATCAAAAAGAAAAAAAATTCTGTAGATGCACTTATTGTATATGTGATTAGGTTCTGCGTCCAAGGCTTGAGGCCTTGAACTGCCAAGGAAGAGAAAAAAAGAGGCGGCAGTTATTAATTAATATGAAATCGCTTTGTTGGGAGCATACTGAAATAAAAGAGATGATGTGTAGAAAATCACTCAAAAAGGCGATTTTACCAATTTCATTTTGATGCTTGTGATAAAAGGCAAATGTATTTGTGTAGAGAAAGACCTTTAAAATAATGACTAGGGAAGCTGATTTTGAGGTTAATGCTGTAGAATAGGAATGTATACCAAATGTAATCTTTCCAATGCTACAATGAATTTATACATGAGATTGATATGCAATAAACCTGTGTGCTTTTCTAAGGAACGGCCCTGGGAGCTTTCTTGACCCCAGACAATCTACCTTAAAGTGATGCTTGAAAATTGTGCCACATTTTCATTGTGAAAGTTGAGAAATCCCAAAGGGTGCTGGTTGGACCTAAGAAACTCATCAGCGGGCCCGTGTGTTTCTGTGGGAACAGAGGTTTGAATAAAGGACGGGGCCCTTCATGGCTTTCTGGTTTTAGGTGAGATGGGGTTGTAAAAGTGGGGGGGGCGGGGCTGGACTCTGTGATCGTCTCAGTTTAGAAAAACAGCATCTTGGATTCCCTGTGCCCGCCCGACTCTGCTGTTGTTGCTGTGTTTTAAACAGAGCGGCAAAGGACAGTCCATTTCTTTTTCCGGCGGTAAGTTACACGTCATATGGACATAGGGCAGGGGTGGGCAATGAAACGGTGTCTGCTCACCAAGGTTAGCTCCTGGGAGCTGCTGCTGCTTTATCTACCTGCGCCGTCGCAGGTCCGGGTGATGGCAGCTCCCGTTGGCCGGGGCCGGCAATCTGCGGCCAACAGGAGCTGCGATTCCCCGGACCTGCAATGGCGCAGGTAACTTCGGTGGTGTGGGGGCCCACCAGGAACTAACCCTGGCAAACCGGATCCAGCCCACAGGCTAGTATTTGCCCAGTGCTGGTGATATTTCTTTAGAGAAGGCCCAAGGATGAGGAGTGAGAGCAGAGGCATGAACTCGCTTGTCAGGAGAAAGGGCTTGTGGTGACCACTAAAGGTGGCAGGACATTTGCATTAAGAACATAAGAACGGCCCCAGTGGGTCAGACCTACGGTCCATTTAGCCCAGTGTCCTGTCTTCCCACAGTGGCCAAAGCCAGGTGCCCCAGAGGGAATGAACAGAGCAGGGAATCATCAAGTAATCCCTCCCCTGTCACCCATTCCCAGCTTGTGACAAACAGACTCTAGGGACTCCATTCCAACCCATCCTGCATAATAGTCATTGATGGACCTAACCTCCATGAATGTATCTATCTCTTTCTTGAACCCTGGCCTTCACAACATCCTTTGGCAAGGAGTTCCGCAGGTTGATTGTGAGTTGCATGAAGAAGTATTTCCTTTTGTTTGCTTTAAACCTGCTACCTATTAACATTGTAGAATGACCTTAATGAGCGTAACCTTTACATGGCCACATCTGAAAGGCAGCAAGAGACATGTTAAGCAGAACTTCTGGATGTTTTGGAGATGACATTGGCGTTTCTGGTACTCTAACCCTCTTGAGTTCTTCTTCCCAGGTCAAGAAGAGATGTCCAACGCTATTGGGTACGCAAACGTCAAACTAATGAGGTTTCCTGTTTCTTAGCCGAAAATTCGCAGTGGCAGGTGAGTCTCTTCCATTCTGTGAGAAGAACTGAAATCTGTTGTGAATATTTTCCCCTCAATGTGGTGAGTGGAGAGTTAGTGAAATCTCTAGCGGTGGCGGTCAGAGGTTTCAGCGGGGGTCACTTGAAGCAAAACCGACTTGAAAGCAGGGTCTTTGAACTCACCATGTGCATTACAAAACTGATGAATGGTCCAAGCTTCAAAAAGTCATTCATGGTGCTCATATGACAGTATCCAGCATACTACATAATAGCACTTCCCGGGCATTGGCCATATAAGGATTTTGGTCTCGGCCGAACTTTGAATTGAAATCCTCTGCCTCTGTGGCAGCTGGCAACCTCTCTCCTCATTAGCCCTGGAGGGGAGTTAAAAAAAATCTATTGGATAAGAAAGCTTTGATAATAGAGTGATTGTCAGGCGGGCTTTAGCGAGAGAACAGAGACATTGAAGAGAATATTGCTGACAAGCGGACTTTGTCATCCAGAAAGCACTCGCTTCTCCCCATAAACTGGTGAGAAAAAGGCTCCATTTGTAGGGAGAGAAAAATAATCAACAGGAGAAGGGGGAAAAGAAAGCCAAGGAAAGATCTGTTCCCAGCAAAATGTGTGTTGTCCATGGTGGGGTAGATCCATCATCTTCCTGAGTAGGGTTCCATCCTGTTCATTTGCCGGGACATCTGTTCTCTGCCAATAACCTTATTTTCTTGAATATACAAAATGCAGCCTAATAATCCAAATAGGTGTTCGATTATGCGTACATAGGTCTACGAATGAGGCGTGAGTTCCAAAAGCCAGGGAGAGGGTCAAATGATTATGCGTACGTAGGTCTATGAATGAGGAGTGAGTTCCAAAAGCCAGGGAGAGGGTCAAAAAGATTAGAAATGGGAGGAGGGTAAAATACAGCCTGTGGATCACATCTAGTCCATGGACCCTTTTGTCTGGCCCCTGGACTCAATCCTGCATCCCCCCCTTCTGGCCCAACAACAAAAATGATTCGGGGCATGGAACGACTGCCATAGGAGGGGAGATTTAAAAGACTGGGACTTGTCAGCTTGGAAAAGAGATCACTAAGGGGGATATGAAGGTGTGGAAAAAGTGAATAAAGAAGACTCATGTATTGCTTCCCATAACACAAGAACTCAGGGTCACCAAATGAAATTAATAGGTAGCAGGTGTAAAACAAACAGAAGGAGGTTTTTCTTCACACACCGTGCAGTCAACCTGTGGAACTCCCTGCCAGAGGATGTTGTGAAGATCAGGACTTTAAGAGGGTTGAAAAAAGAGCTATATAAATTCATGGAGGAGAGGTCCACCGATGGCTATTAGTCAGGATGGGTAGGAATGGTGTCCCTAGCCTCTCTTTGTCAGGGTGGGATCACTTGATGATTCCCTGTTCAGTTCATTCCTTTTGGGGCACCTGGCATTGGACACTGTCAGAAGACAGGACACTGGGCTAGATGGACCTTTGGTCTGACCCATTATGGCCGTTCCTATGTCTCTAAAACTACAGTCCCGCTTGCTCGCTGGAGTGCGAGATATTGTAACGCCAGCAGGCAGAATTGAGCCTGGGACCTCTGGAGCTTAGTGCATGAGCCTCTACCACATGCTCCAAAACCCAGCTGGCTGGTGGCTAAGGCTATAGAGCAGACACATTAAGTTCTCTGTGAGGGTCTCAGGGCCACGAGGTGGAAGAGTGCCCCACCCAGCAGAGGTGTGGGGGTTACAGTGTCGTCTACTTTCCATTGCTGACCCAGCCCAGAGGACAACGTGCAGATCGGTACGTTAGTTTGCCACTTGTTAGTGTGATGGGGCAACCTCTGCATGTGTCCTACCTTGTCCGAGGGAGCTGCACTCCAGAGAAAGGGCACTCTGTCTCGGGCCACTTCTGGGGTCTCCGGCCATTTCTGGTCCCTTCTTGGAAACACGATGGGAAACCACTTTTCTTGTGCTAATTCGCATGCAGAAATGACATACATCCGTCATGAGGCCTGGGCAGAGCCACCATGTCTGAGGGACGAGCCAAACTCTTCTGAGGTTTGGGATGTGCTTTGGGTGTGGCTTCCGGCCAGGACTGGAGCCACCTGCTAAATTTGGCTCTGGACTTGAATATTTCTGCTATTCAGTGCTAAGGGTCTGGATCGAGTCCTCTTTGAACTGTATTTTTTTAAGCACCAGCTAGTTCTCATCAACAGCTCGATTCCCCGAAACCCATCAGTAGCTTGAAGTAGCTTCCTCCTTGCTTCTACCATTGAAGCTCTTCCATAGTTGAGAGACGGGTTGGGGAACCAGCCTTAGAAATGTGTGAACAAGATGAGCCCTGTTCTGCCATCTCCCTGCCCCCCGCCACCCTCGCCCAACAGAGCGATGACAGAGCCTCTGTCAACGGACTTGCCAATAGCTCCCTGTCTCGTGTGAAGGTCACTGCACAGAGATGTCCTGGAGAGAGCCCAACGGGAAGATTCCCCCCTTGCGCACTGGCACGATGTAATAGGTCAGGGGAACAATGAAGAACAGGATCAGCAATGAAGCGCGCGATTGTTCTGGGGAGGATTCACGCCCACGGCAAATTCCGTCGCAGGGCAATCCTCGAAGGCAGAGAAAATGCCCCTTAATATATCAGCTTGCACCCTGCGGGAGCAGATCTGTCAAGGTCAGTAACGCACGATGGGGGGAACTTCTAAAGCCCCGAAACCTGCCTGCTGCAGCCACCCAGGCGGTGAGCGAATGCTGATATCCTTCCGCTTGGCCCTGGAGAACCGGAGTTTATCTTTAGAGCTCAGGATTTCTGGCTCCCGGCCCTGAGCCAAATGAGAACCATGGAGATTTGGGGTTTTTTTAAAAAAAACAAAACTCTATTGTTTTTTGCACAAAAAATGGCTCTCGATTCTGGTTAGGGATAAGTTTGAGGTGAAAGCGCAGCTCAGTTCTGATAGAATCCAGCCAAGTCAGCCAGGCCTGTTGATAGCGGGTGGGAGGAAGTAAAAGGGGCAGCTGTCCTGGGCCTGGTGATTCAAAAGCGCTCAGAGCGCCCCTCGCTGCTACTTCAATAGCAATGGCATCCAGAGCCCAGGAGAGTAACCTCAAGCCCCGCCCCTTCAATCTGAGGCTCCGCCCCTTAAAGGAGCATAGCGCTGCCTTTCTCCCCTCCCCCCCGCCCGCTTTGCCCTGAGGCCTGGCATTTCTGTCAGCTTCCCTGCAATCAGAAAACAAGCTACAGAGGGTGTGGAGAACCCAGCGCTAGCTGGCGGCACTTGGCCATGGTGTGACGTAGTGGGGATTGTGTTTGCTCTTGTCACTGTATTCACTCTGGTTTTGTGTGATGTCACCCTATCAGGAGGCTCGGATACACTCAGGGTACGTCTACACTACATGGCTCCGTTGACGGGCACCCGGCTGGGGATGGGAATGTTGGATGCTGCTTTCGCTGAGGGGAGGCTGTTCCATGTCCACAACTATAGCTCAGGCTGTCTTGTAACCTGAGCTGAGGTGGGAAGCGCAACCAGGTGACACCTTGCCAGGGACTGCGGGGCTGGGACCAGTTGCTGGGTGTGAGAGTTACTCTCAGCTGGCGGAGGATGCAGGGAGGTGGCCCAGGACGCCGGCTCTGCCCCCTCCTTCCCCCCACCCCAAGTTGGATTGTACTGGCTGCTCCCGG